TGTACAGTTCACTCTACTCCATTCTGCTTCCTTTTATAACTTTTCCAGGTATTAGGTTGAACCACAAGAAATTGCCATTTTATACGTTAAAAAGTAATGGAATTCCAACATTTCATGTAATTCAAACTGATATGCTAGTTGTGACATTTTTCTTTCTTCTTTTTTTCTGTTTGACCACAGAATACTTCTTTTTTTTTTTTTTTTTGCATTAACAAATGTTTATTAAATCTTTATGTTAGGAACTGGGACTCTTACTATCGATATATCCTCTTCCCTTAAGCACATTTACAGTCCTTTTGAAGGGATAAGCAAGTAAAGCATCAATTAACCTTAACTACGGAGGCTTTGTGAGCATTACCTGTGATTAGCAGGAGCTCAATCTGCAGACAAAACACCCAAGTTTTCTAGACTTCCCTTGAAGGAGTATACCCCCTGGAAGCGATATTTCCCCAGGTTTTCCAGGTATTCAAGTCACCTTGAGCACACAGGTATCAGGCCCATCCCATGGAAATTCTGACTCAGTAGGTCTTATAGCGGGGAGGGTGCTGGGCCATAGAGTCTGACCACAGTATGCTTTTGAGGGGACAAAATTTGTTGGAAGAAAAGATGCCATCTGTGGTAAATAAGGCAAAACAGTGTGCAGTGAATTTGAATGTCATAATAATTTGTAAAATACCCAGATAACTGCTTATATTTAAAATGACAAATTTAAGAGTATAATGTAAAACTGTAATTATTATTTCTATTATATCTAATTATTATTTCTATTATTAATTTTTTAAGTATAAAGTATAGTAAATATAGTCAGTTTATAAAAAGCCACTTCAGAGGTGCCTTGGCTGGCTTAGTCGGTAGAGCATGTGAATCTTGATCTTGGGGTTGTGGGTTCGAGCCCCACGGTAGGTGTAGAGATTACCTAAAAATAAAATCTTAAACTTTTTTTAAATTAAATAAAAAGCTGCTTCTAAGCATTTTGACCACAAGGTAATATTGATTTATTAACTATTCTCATTTTATTTAAATAATCTAAAGATTAAATGTTAGCATGTTTAACACCAATACAAGCATTGTTTATCAAATAAGCTCTTTCTCAGCATTTAAGAACTGATAGTCCTATGCTAGGTACTTTGCAGAATTCAAAGAAAGCAGGAGACAAGTCCCTATTTTATTTTATTTTATTTTATTTTTTTTGACAAGTCCCTATTTTAAATAAATGTATATCCTTTAATGGAAATAACAAAAAATATTGATTCCATGGGAAAATGTGATTTATAATACAAATAAAATACAATATTCATAAGGAAGACTGAATATATAGAGCAAGGAAATCAATATGAAACACAAAGACTTGTCTTGTGTTTAAATGCTTCAATTCATCCACTAATGTGATTTTCACATTTAGTCATTTAAAAAAATACTTTGAATGCTATGTTCCCAGCCACTGTTTTGGGTGCTTTGGATACACCAGCATCCCAAACACGTAAAGATGATTTCCCTCACGGACCTAGCAGAGGGAGGCAGGTAATAAATAGTGAACATAATAAATACAAGTCTATGGTGTGATGGAAGGTGGTGAGTGCTGTGGAAAGGGAAAGAAGGAGAAGGGATGAAGGGTGGTGGGAGGGACATGGTTGCAGGTTTCATTATGGTAGTCAGGAAAGCCTGGGCTGGGAAGATGATTCTATGACCAAAGACTTCAAGGAGGTAAGGAAGAAATACCTCCATTATTCATTCCTAAAAAACTTCAAGAGTGACACACAAATACATAGGCCAGGATATTTAGAGAGTAAAACTAAGGGTCTTCCAGAAGAGCCACAGGGCTGAGCTAACTGAATTTGGGGATATAGTTAAATCAGATTCTTAAAGATCAGGATCTGAGATGCAGCAGATTGTAACACAGGGCAGAGACATAGTGTGTCATCAAAGTGAGAGAAAGTGTCAGCTTAGATTCTTCTTTATTTTTATGACCCCTCCATTGTAATTAAAGGTCCTATAGAAGGAAATGTTTTTCCCCCATACCTAGAACTTATCAAGTGTTTGAAATATATGTATGTGTGTCATCAAAACTGGCTAGATGAACTGATGAATGGTACTAAGCCAAGGTCTAGAATATTGTCAAAGAGAGAAAGGATAAGGAAAGCAGTACAGTTTAGGCTCATAAGCATAAATATAAAAAATACAAAAAATCATGAAAGGCTCTCAATTATCTGCCATTTTGTATTCTTAGAGTGTAATTAAAGGGAAGAATTATATAGTGCTTACTATACAATGGACATGTTAAAGTAGCAGTTCCTTCCACTAACAAATGAAAAGAAAAAAAGAAAAAGGAAAAAGAATTTACCAACTCATTCTCAGTGACGAAGCAGGTCTTCTCAAATAATGACTCCTGAAAAAGTATTAAATATTTTTGAAGCTGCACTATTTTTTTAGACTGACCAGGACCATTATGTGTGCTTTAGGAGATTCTGACAAAATATGATTTATGTTTCAAGAAATGACATCATTTGTGCATTATTTTTTGTGTTCAGAAATGAACACCATATTATTAATAATTTATATAACATATTAGAACATTTGTTTTGAAAAATAACTTTAGTGTCCAAATCACTGAAGAAAAATAGACATTTAACAGAGGGATCATGTTTAAGGAATGCTTTTTGGAAGAGAAGAATCCTAACCAGTATGTAAGATTAACTGAAATCTGAAATCTCCTGTAATTTTACTAGGGTAATCACTTTTTTAAACGTGATTTCTTTATTTGATAGATGACGTACTGGGGGCAGAGAACAGTAGTGGTGGCCGCAACTTTATTTTAGACATCAGAAAAGTCAGTCTGATCCTACCTCTGGATGAGTTAACCTAAAAGCAATGAGTCATAACAGCTGAATATTGAAAGAACATTTTACGAAGGAAATAAACACAGCGCATCAAGGTCAAAATCCTAATCACAATTTTTGCTGACTCAGAAAGATTTTAACAAATATTGCGCCTCCCAGTGGTTGTTTTTGAGTGAATGCTCTCTTAATTTTTTTTTTTTTTTTTTTTTTAACCTGGGCTCCCAGTTTTCCAGTTTCATTATTTTGGGTAACCTCATGAAACTTCACACTGTCTATTAACTAGGAGGAACCTTGGGAGGACAGCTCAGTTTGATTGCCCGATTTCATGCTTGCAGAAAGAACGATGCCAGGGATGATAGAGTGCCTAGTATATGATGATTAAGTTCAGGCTCGGCAAGATAGGATCACAAAAGGGCCATCATGCTCAATTCGTCTGATTGCCGGGCTGGAAATGAAAGAAAAGCAGTGACATAATTACCCCAGATTCTTCAGACCTCCGATACAGCACAACACAGATATTAAGCAAGGCTAGTCTCAGAATTATGGAACATATTTTAAAGACGAAGATCACTGCTTTAGCAAATAAAGGAAAGCTCACAAAATCAAAGACAAAGGATGATTTTGGAGTCATTTTTTCTTGCACACAGAACGGGAGGGAGCGCAGAAAGAAAATCACTTGGTGAAAGAAGAAAAGCAGGGCACCTAAGTCAGAGAATGGGGATGGTGTGTCTGCTGGATCACCAGCCTGCTTTGTGACCTTGGCCAGATTCCCTGGGCCTCAGCTTTCTCACCTATGAAACAAAGGGTGTGGACTAGGCTGAGTGGTGTTCCTGAATCCGGGATATGGACAGAGGCAAGGAGAAGTAGGAACCATCTCATACAAAAGAACCATAATCTGAATATTTATGAAAGCAGAATTAGCTCATGATCAAAAAGTGGAGAAGAAAGGTGGCTAATGGAGAATGTAAATTCATCTTAATGCGCTCAAAATAGAGTGTAAAACTGATAGACACAGTTCTTTCCAGAAAGCAAAGAATGAAGCATATCACTCTAAATTTCCTCCCCTGGAGTCTCCTTCCCTTTTCTCTATCATTACCTTATTTTTCTCAGTACTTTCTGTTTCCGGTAACCATGGTGATGCTCCCTCCCAGCAACCTTCTTCACAGCCGGCCCTTTTGGTATACATTGAATTTTGCTCCATTCACTGATGCAGGAAGCTAACAGTGCTGTAAAAATTAATTTATTTATTAATGTTTTTCCCAGCCCTTCTGTCCGGGCAATAAATGCAGGGAATTATTCCACATTTAACCTCCCTGCATAAGGGGCACTGTGAAACAGGGATATTCAGCTGTTAATTTCAGTTGCTAACATAAAGGGGGGTACTGATTATGCCAGAGATTCAATTCTCTGCCTTGGCCCTCAGGGACTGTAAGGTCCCGGTACCCAAGCTCATTGCCACCTCCTTTCGCTTCTGTCTGTAAACGGAATAAAATAGATTGCCCAGAGAAATCACACATCAACCCTGGTTTCCTAATCCTCTTTGTTTTTTGCTGCATTCTCCCTTGTAAGGAAAACGTTGCCAAATGTGTAATGATCACAGTTACAAGGGGATTGAATTTTCCCTAAGAAAATACAAATAAATATGTGCTTTTTTCTATTGAGCACAGATGTTTATTTTGGAATATAAATAAACAATAAATAAACAAACAATTTTGGATATTCAGTTTTTAAAATATCGTAATGAGCAGCCAGTGACAGAACATCAGACAATCTCTGACGTCATTAATGTAGATAAAAATATTCCCATAAACTACCATTTATCATGTCCAGTTTGTGTAGCCAGATTTATTTGTAATCCTATATATTATGCTGGGAAACTCTTTATTTAAGCACAGTGTGTGTGTGTGTGTGTGTGCGTGTGTGTGTGTGTTCGTGTGTGTCTGGCATTAACACAAAGGAGACCAGATGATGACATTCATAGGCTTATAGACTCGACTCCTGGGGACACACTTGGATGGAGGCAATTAAAATGCCTGTCAGGCATTTGATACCAGAAGCCCCTATGGTAAACCGCTAAATCATAAGCCAGGGCTGCATCTTATTGTCAGTGAATGATGGCGGAGCTGGGTGGCTTGTCATCATTCTCGAAAATTCTGAGGCTAGTGAGCTCTCTCTCCCTCTCCCACTCGCCTTATTTTCCTTTTCGCCACTGCGGGGACTTTTTCTAATTTGCAGCTTCCCTTTCCCCGACACACACAGAGAGGAGCTGGTGGCTTGCAGACTGCGTCTGTCTGGAGCTAGAGAGCTAGAGCCAGCCCGTAGAGATAACGCTCCGGGGGAAGGATTCTGCAGCAATCCTCAAAGGCTAGACTTGGGTGGTATCACTGCGTATGCACTGGTAATGCTTCGGGGTTTTTTAAAATTTTATTTCATTTTATTTTCAATCCATTTTTCAAAGGATTTGCTTTATGTGGTCTCAAAGTAAAATGCTTTAAAGTTCATTACCGAGCTTCCCAAAAATTCGAGTGTTGCATTATTTGTATTACAGATCTCAAGACATAGATTTATTATCTGGATTATAAAGAATGCATTTGCTTACTGGTGAGTTATGATTTTCAATATATAGTTAACAAATCTGTATATGTATTTTTTTTCTTTTGTTTTGTTTCGGTAGATTCTTCAGCTTGTTGTCTCTAACCGAAGAAACATTGATTGGGAACTGCTCATTCAGAAAATTAAAAGGTACCGCATGTTTTGTGTGGATGTTTAAATGAGGGGAAATCAGGGAGGATTTGGAATGTTTTTATTTAAATTAATCTCTCTATGGTTGGTCTTTTATCTGTAAGCCTACGTTGATCATTGTCTATACATGTATGATTTCCCAAGCAGAGAATGCCATTATCCAAGGCTGTTTTGGTTATAAGATGTCTAAGGAATTATGTCTTTTGCCTGGGTTGCAAGTTGTTAACAAATATCAATATGTCTGGCTTATTTTCGGATTTTTATTATTGTAGCAGCTAAAAAAAATATCAAAAATTCTCTATCTTAATGAAAATTCAGTCATTTAAATTTAACAGGAATATACTAAAGTAATGATTTTATCTGAGGGAATCTTGCTAATAAGTGATTTTTTTAAATGGGTAAATGAAATGGCTTGCCCTTCCCAGGTAGAAGGAGCGCTAGAGATGAGAGCCTAAGAATGACTCAGTATTGTTGGGTTTTGTGAATAAAATATTGTAACTTCTTCACTGATGCTCTAGTCTTTAGCACCATATTTAAAGGCTGAGGTTGTTCGTTATTAAATGAACTGATTTTGTATATGCTTTATCGGCATAAGAAAGTAATCCTTCATCTTGTCATGGAAGCAGTTGAATCCATTGATCCTGGGCCTTCTGCCTTACATGAAAAATATTCATTTTCAAATTCAACATCAGGATGTATACTGATTAGAGATGGCAGTTATGGGCATTACCTTTTGTTTAATTCTTTAAAGTTATCTTTGACTTCATGTCAACAAAAGCTACATTTGTAATTTGCCTTCAAAAAATGGAAGACATTTTCTGCCCTGCTGAGAAGATCAATAACATCGTTTAAATCTTTCTTTGGCTTCACATAGCATTTCCTCTCAAGCTTATCAGCCCAAAATATGTTATGCAGGGAGGTTAGTTTTTTTTTATGTACTTTAAAAATAGTTAAAGTTCGATGACTGATCCTGAAATAAAAGAAGTCTGTGAGTATGCACCTGTGAGTGTGAATATTTGTAGCAGTTGAAGGAGACGAATGCATTGTCCTTGTTTAATTTCCTCTGCAGTGTGTAATTATGAGAACCTTAATTTATTCATTCCACAAGCACTTGCTAAGAGCCTTGCCACTGTGGGTAGGTTTCGTGGGAGAGAGGGAAGGGGCAGATGTCACCACCCTTCCAGAGTGTAGGCAGTATCGCATCATATTTTTGCACAAGAGAATGAATTCATTAAAATAAATCCGTGTGCTCTAAAAAAGAAACTGCATTTATTTCAGATATTGAGCAAAATCGAATAGACTAGTCTCAGAGATACATGAAATATATTGCATTTTTTTCCTTAGAAATTACTCAGTGGAATCAGGTATGAAATCCCCAGAGAGGACTTACTTTCCTCCTGGATATTGTAAAACCCTTGGGACTATCCTCTCCTTTTAGGTTCCACTCAGAGTAGGCGAATACATTTCGTATCTGGTGGAAAAAAAAATCTATTTGGCATTTTCCCATCTAATAAAATCCACACAGTATATATTTTATGTGAGAATCTGTTTTCTAATCCCCAGGCTCGTTTAGCAACTCATTATATTAATTTTGAACGATGGGATATTTATGTGAATTGGAAAAGGATGATGTTATTATCTAACCACTAAAAAAATGTATTCAGTATATTGTTAATAGGAACTAATCAGCTCTGTTGAGGTTTATCTGGGTATTGGAGAAGTGGCATATGACCTCACCAAAAGTCTCTTGGTGGCTAAATTTTCTAGGACCATTTTAAATTTATCTAGGGGTGTGTTGACAGATTTTGTGTAATAAACCAGAGTTTATTGAAATAGACCGTTATGGCGTCAATTCAGAATTGAATTTGACTTTAGGACTGTGAGTGAGTCAGGGATCTGTATCACGGTTTTGCTAATCAAACTCGTTTTGACAATGGTTAATTATTTCACTCATATCTTCAACACATAAAACAGTGCCTGGACCACAGTAGGAGTCCAACAAATATTTATTTAATTATATGATGGGTAAATGATTCATCAGCATTTTCCCCCGTTACTTTTTTGTTCTTGTTTTTCATGAGATTGCACACTGTAAAACAGATATTTGGTACTTTTTTTTTCCAGCTACCCCAAATATTCACTATATGTCTTTAATAATAATTAATTAGATAATACCAGGTAGAAAATCAGGAAAACCATGTGTGAAAATTTCTCCAGCTATATAGAAAAGGATTTTTCCAGTTTTAGGTTAAGATGGAAAGAATTTTTGAAGTGTCCCTTTTCACTTTTATCAGGAAGGGAAAGAAGCCAAACTGCAGCATGAGTTTTGCTTTGTGGATGCTTCCTAAATACTACTCCCAAGCTGGACATTGTTTATTGCTCTTCATGTCTTCAGCCAAGATTTTGCTGCAGCAGAGGGGAGGAGGCCTTCTCTCTCTCTCTCTCCCCCTCTCTCTCCCTCTGTAATACTAGAAATGATGTCATAGTCTTCTTAAATGCTTTGTTGCTCATTATGGACTAGTATGACATCATTTCATAACATATAAGGAAACTTCTAGAGTCATAATAGTTTTAGAGAATGCTATTTTTTCTTGTTGCCATTTATTTGTATTAATACAACTATAATTTTTTGTTATTAACTATATGCTGGATGATATCCTAAGCCCTTAACTTATGTTATCTTGTTTTTACTCTCTCTACAATCCTGGGAGATGGGTATGGTCTCCATTTTATAGATGAATGAATGGAGACTCCAGCTGGGCAATCAACACAAGTCTGGCCCAAAGTCCTTCAGTATTAACCACAACATACTACATTTTTTTTCTAGTAGATTTTTTTGGCTCATAGCCATTGCTTTAATATTTTATTTATGCACATGATATATACTGAAATAAGGTTAAAACAGTATGCCTGCAGATATTTGTTTTTATATACTTAAGTTAGGAGTAAATATATCTTAGAATATGTAACATAATATTCAAACTCTGCTATATATTATATTTTTAATATGTATTTTATATTTAAACTGAAAAACTTTATCCTTTTTTAAGTTAAGGAGGAATATCAGAGATAAATTAGGAAGTTTTAAAACAAATTAATTCATAAAGCGCTCCTGTGTCATCATGATGAAGGCGTATTACTAAATAGTGTAATCTATATAAGCAAATTAGCCAGAGAATTCGAGTACTAAATAGCATAACTTGATGCCATAGTTTGCAATTTTTTTTTTAAGATTTTATTTATTTATTTGACACAGAGAGAGAGAGAGAGGAATCACAAGTAGGCAGAGTGGCAGGGAGCGGCAGAGGGAGAAGCAGGCTCCCCGCCGAGCAAGGAGCCCGATGTGGGACTCGATCCCAGGACCCTGGGATCATGACCTGAGCCGAAGGCAGACGCTCAACGACTGAGCCACCCAGGCGCCCCTATTTTGCAATTTTTTTTTTAATGGAAATAATAGCAGAAGTTCCAAATGACCGAAAAGCAATAAATGAGCAGGGAACAGTATGCAGTGTGCGTACTGTATAGTAGGCAGATACCACATTCAACCTTAAGTATGGCTAACTAAGCCACAAAAATAACTGAGAGCACTAACAATTACACAGATGGGTATTAAGATGCTCCACTTGCAAAGGCTTATATAGAACAGGACACTTTTGGAGCTCAGTTGGTTGCAGCAGAACAAAACAAAGAAGTAGCCTCAAGGCTCATTGGTACCATAAGAGACACATGAATAATTTCTTAAGGGACTTCATTGCAGGCCAGGAGTACTAACAATTGAGAAGAGACTCAACAGGAAATATTTCATGGAGGATGGGTCTTTTGAGGTGGAGGTTAGGGATGAAAAGACAGATTCAAGGGAGAGAGAATGCATGCACGAGCTCCAGGAAGAACAAACATTAGCAAAGAGACCAAAGAAAGTGAACATGCGTGGAAAGTGTAGACTGATCTCGTTTATATTCTAGAGTGCAGGGCAGAAGAAGGGGGTTCTTATAAGGTAAGGATGGAAATAGTATTCAGTCATACCATATAAAATGGCTAGTATTCTGCCCTTTCTGAACTACAAAGTAAGAATCCATTCAGTTCAACCCAATACATGCGAATGGGGACCTTAAATACCAACTTGAGGAAATTATTCAGTATTTGATGAGAAGCTATTGGGTGTATTTTGCATAGCAGACCACTCTGACCTAAACTCTGTTTTCAGGTGACTTACTTTATCTCTGTATGTGAGATGGAGTTGTGGGTGAGAATATATTGAAGAAGACATCACTTTGGAAGCTCTCGTAGGATAAGCCAGGAAATAATAAAGGCTCAGAGAGGGTGTTGACAGTGGGCATAAAAAAAGAGGTCATGAAATTGAAAGATGTTTCTGAGCTCAAAGTCATAAGCAGAATATAGCAACTGCTTGATTGGTAGGAGGAATGAAAAACAGAAGGACTCAGTGCTGGCTCTAACATTTGAATTTGATAACTAGAAAAATGAGGGGAGAAAGGTAGCTAAAAGCTGCTTGAGGAAAAAGGCTCTCTTTCATTTGTCTTGCATCCTAGTCTCTTGCAGACTGCCTAGGACATAGTGGACAGCCAATAAATGCTGACTGAATGAGGGAGGGAATAAAAAGTCAAGGGGCAGGTTTAGGCCATGATGGGCTGGATTTGTAGGCAGACTGGTCTGGTAGATGGCAGATCACATTGGGCAAATACTGAGAAGAGAAATTAGGAGACAGGATGTGAATGACATTACCAAGAGAGAAGAGAAGAGGACCAGAGAGAACACTCTCAGCAGCACCCACATTTAGATTGTAGAATAAGGAATTGACAAAGTTAAAGGAAGAACTCTTTTTTTTAAAGCAAGGAAAAAAAGAGGACAGGTGAAATAATAGAAAACAAGGCTAAAATTCAAATTCTGCAGAAAAGTTGAAGAATGAGAATAAGTAAAAGACTGCTCAATATATTATTTACTTCAGTAGTGTTTTCTGTTATAAAAACAATAAATCCACATTT